TAGTAATAGATTTTTATCGGACGTTCGAATCGACCTTCTTCTCTTCGACTTTCTATTTTCAAGATGTTGACTTCGAAAGTCGATTGGGAATGAAATTCAACTTACGTACATATATTGCTCGTTATTGTGAATTCTAATAGTAGTACTATTCGACAGAAAGAAGTTAATAAAAATTCTCGAAGAATAAATCGCATTCGTAGAAAAGTAGTTTTCAAACGAATTCAAGTCGATCAAAGAAAATGAATGTATTTCTTCATTCATCTTTTTTTAAAGAGGAAAAAGATTATGTTCTTTCTTTCTTCTTTTTATGTTTCTTTCTATCTTTCTTTTTTATTTTTTTTTTTATTTTTTTCTTTGTACATACGACATTATAAAATTTATTTTCCATATTCTTCTTCTTCTTCTTCTTCTTCTTTTGCTTTTGTTTTCGTTGTTTTCTTTTTGGTTTTGTATTCTTTCTTTCTTTCATTTTTTTTTCTTTTCCTTTTCTTTTTTTTTCCTTTTTTTTTATTACTTGCATTCAACGAGAAAATAATTTGTCATCGGAGAGAATATAACGAATGAGAATGGGGGGTGGGGGGGGGGGAATATATTAAAAGTCGTCTCATGATCCGAAGAACGACCGGATTTATTACTCTGACAAATCAAAAGTGCGGCTACGTGTGTAACTATGTAGGCAGGATGATTGCGTAATGAACGATCGAGAGAAGAGGATTCACTCTACGTAACACAATGACCTTTCTGTAAATCTTCTCTTCTCAAAGGCACCTATATCTCTTATAGGAATAATAATATTTTGAGAATGATTTATATAGATAAGACTTTTCATTTAAAACTTGACGTTCCTTTATAATGATTATATTAATAAAAAAAAAAAATATATATTTATATATACACATACGCATATGCGTAGATGTATATGTACATGTATGTATATATATATATATATATATATATATATATATATATATATATATGTACATGTATGTACGATATGGTGAAGAACATATAGAATTATTAATTAAAAAATATTCGAGTAGAAATCGATCTCTCGATATATAGACAATTATTAACGATAAAATTGATCATTAGAGATTATTGAAACGCAAAAAGAAAAAGAAAAAATGAAAAAAAAAAAAAATAGAAACGAATACGTCGGATTTTTGTATATACATATATTTTTTCTTTAATTTTTTTTTTTCTTTTTTTTAAATTCCCAATACACAAAATACACAATGACTTCACAAGTAATAAATAAAGTCTCTCGGTCAGAGATCAACAAAGGAATTTATTACATTGTTCGCGTTAATAAGTAATCACAATAATCCGATGGCAAATTCATTATCACAATCGTAAACACTGTAGGATAGTCGTGCTTTCGATTAATTGAATGCCGGAGATAAATGGTGGAAAAGATTAGAGATTAATTATTTCTCAATTGGGCGAAGAAAAAATCTATGGACTGGATTTCGCGATATTTTATTCGATCATTAAACTAATCATATGATATAATTGTATATAAACAATTACATAAGTACTAAAGAAAATTAATCGTAAGACCATGAGACGTGATAAGAACAGAGGAGACATATATAACGCGGTGAGGAAGTGAGGTACCACACCATGCGTCAAATTGGGTTAATGCTAACGTAGTTATCCAACTACATGATCGAAAATCCAATAAACGACGAGTCGAGAAGAGTTTTTCTAAACGTTTTCATCTCTCTCTCTCTCACTCTCTCTCTCTCTCTCTCTCTCTCTCTCTCTTTCTCTCTCTCTCTTCTAACATGCTGACGTTATTACTGTTATAAAGTTCGACGAGTTATAAAACTTTAGTCTATCTTTCTCGTTGACAATCACCTAAACATCGTTTTAAAGAATTGTTAAACTCGTTAACGTTTTCAACTAATAAATGGTCGAAAAGAGAGAAAGAAAGATAGAGATAAACAGAAAGAGAGAAAGACAGAGAGAGAAAGAGAGAGAGAGAGAGAAAAGAGAGAGAGAGAGAGAGAGAGAGAGAGAGAGAGAGAGAGAGAGAGAGAGAGGATTAAATAAAATTAAGTTTACTTAGTAAGTTAAAAGAACCGTGCAAATTTAGAAAGTATACTTTTCGTCAATGACTCTTTATCTATCTATCTATCTATCTATCTATCTATCTATCCATACATACACATACATACATATATATATATATATGGTTTTTTTTTTAGAAAAATAATAACACACTTGAAAATGTTACGATCAGTTTATATGTACAAGATGAAAAAGATAGATAAACCAGAACGGGAATAAGAAATATAGAGATAATAATAATAACGATAATAATACTAATAATAATAATAATAATAATGATAATAATAATAATAATAATAATAATAATAATAATAATAATAATAATAATAATAATAATAATAGTAAAGTCGGTTCTCTCTATATTTTTTGTCTCTCTCTCTCTCTCTCTGTCTTTTTTCTTTTTCTTTTTTTAACTATATACTAACACATATACATACATACGTACGTACAAATCTATAAGACCTTTTCTTTTGTATAAGGTGAAACGATATTTGAAATATATAATAGGTTAGACGAACTCGATAGAGAATAACTATTTTCGAACTTATATACATACATACATATGTACGTACAATACATATATATATATACATATATATATATATACATATATATATATATATATACATATGAAAAATGAAGTTCCGCGATGTAAAACCTCAAGTTTATTAAAGTTTCGTTCTTTCATAAAAATCGATTTGAAGTTGTCCCGACTATTTATACGAGATGTGTTATTATAGTAGAAATCGTAAGAGTGTTGTGTTACATCGGGGATAAGAGGATGGAGAGGAAAGGGGCGGGGGGTGGGGGGTGGAAGGAAAAGAAAAAAAAAAGAAAAGATAAAGAATTTCGTGTCTCACGACTTACACGGTCTGATTTTTTTACGATGTACGATTCAACGAAGATACGAGTCTCAAGGTCGCGGTCGAATTTCCGACAATAATTTTTTTTCTTTCTTTTTTTATTCTTTTTTAATACGTATATATATATATATATACACACACACACATATATATATATATATATATTTTTTTTTTTTCAGCTGTCGTGAGACTACTCATATATGTATATCACGTGTCTAAAATCCATCCACAAAATTTTTCTTTCACATTATCCTTTGCAATTAACGATAGATCGTTTTAAAGCGTAAAATTGTTTAAAACAAGAAAAAAAAAAAAAAGAAAAGAAAAAAGAGGAAGAAAATAAAAAATAAAAGAAAAATATACAAGCATAGAAAAAATTTCATCGTTACTTATACATTTCGTAACGAAGATCGAGGTAGTTTTTTTATCGTGGAGTTTTTTTTTCTTCTTTTTTTTCTTCTTTTTTTTTTTTTTTTTTTTTTTTTTTTTTTTAATCGTTCACTTCCTCTTTTCTGTTCTCTCTTACTCCGTTTTTCTTTTTCCTCCTCTATCGTTGGATGAATATAACGAAACGTTTTAAAAGTTGTCAAGATAGTTAATGGTTTGAATTGTGAAAAATAAAGAAAAAAGAAGGAAAAAAGAAACAAGAAAAGAAAAAAAGAAATAAAAAAGACGTTCTCGTTCGAAAGATATATATCAGACCATATGTGTCTCTCTATTTTATAGATACGTTTATAAGGAAAAATGGTATACGTATCGTAATAAGTATGGTATTAATTAAAAATATTAAAGGAATACTTTGCTCGCTGATATTGTATATCGAGTTAAGCAACGGAGAAAGGATAATAAAAAAAATTGTATACTCAATGGTAGAAATTAAATGCTTTGATATATCCGTATTAAACGACATATTTCTTTTTCTTCCATGTTCTTTCTTTCTTTCTCCCTTTCGTTATTTATCCCTTTCTTTTCTTTTTTTTTCCAGGGAAAACATGAAATAACAACGAAGGTAAAGAGCAAAAAAAAAAAAAAAAAAAAAAAGAAAAAAAAAAGAAAAGGTTGAATAAAACCCCGTCGCTTATATCAACTCCGTAAAAAAGAAAATACAGAAGGAGAGAGAGACAGAGAGAGAGAGAGAAAGATGGACAAATACGGAATGGAGTTTCCCAAACGTGATTGGAGTCACAGGCTCAGTTTGCGTGGCAGTAGAAGAAGTCATCAGGTAAGACAATAGAAATATTTCCTAACGAAATTTCCAATTCATTTATTTTAACTATTCTCATTCGTTTCTCTGTGTAATAGCTCGTAAGAAACGCGAAATGAAGTTTAAGAAAATTTCATAAATTTTCTATTTCTTTCACTCGATTTTCTTCAAAATGTACACAATTTTCATGGAAACTAGAATTGAATGAGGAATATTTGAAATACAATAGAAAGAAAGAAAGAGAGAGAGAGAGAGAGAGAGAGAGAGAGAGAGAGAAAGAGAGAGAGAAAACCAACTAAGATATCTTTATTTACGGTCTTTGGTATCGAGAAAATTCAAAGTCACTTCTTTTTTTTTTCTTTTTCTTTTCTTTTCTTTCTCTTTCTCTCTCTCTCTCTTTTTTTTTCCTTCCAAAAAGAGAACTTCTCTTGCGGAGTTGCGGAATGCAATTAAAAAGTTTTCCCGCCTTTTGTTCTACCTTTTGGGAATTCATTGTACCTATCTGATATGCTTTGATTTGTTGAAACTTAAACTGCTCGTGATTTTTCATTTCTTTTTTTTTTTTTTTTCTATAAGCTAGATCGACATCTTCGATTTGTTAAATGTCTCTTCTTCTTTTTTTTTTTTTTTTTTTTTTTTTTTTTTTACAGATGCACCGTAAAATAATCTTTTTCATTTTAATTGAAGGGGGAAAAATCTTTTGTTCGTTAAACCATATTTATGTATGTTATATATGTACATATGTATTTAGATATTAATCGATTTAAAATTATCTTATCATATAAAATCCATTTTTTTTTCCGTGTTTATTCTAAAATTTATTCTATTCTAAACTCGACGAATTTTTCTTTTACTTTTAT